CTTCTGCCCTTCTCCTCCTCTTTTCTCTCTGGAGACACAAACACAAGATGCAGATGAAGTCACTGAAGAACGTCAGCATGGATGCCCACATCAAAGCCATGAAATCTATTCTGTCCTTTCTCTTCCTGTACAGCATCAACTTTCTCTGTTTTGTCTTGAAGTTGATTTATGGCACAAAGACAGAAAATCCTGTGAGTTTTCTCATTATATTATTTCAGTATGGTTTTCCAACTGTTCATTCCCTCATCCTGATTTTCAGCAATCCCAAACTGAAAAAGACACTGCTAAGGACCCTGTCCTGTGTCAAGTGCAAGAGTTGCATGTGGCAGGAAATGTCATAAACACTGGATTCCTTTAAAAATGTTGGTACTTTAGTAGAAAAGAAGAAGAGTACTTTGATCTCCATTGCACCTCTCCAGCCCCTGAAGGTGATAGAGATGTTGTAGTTTTACCATCTAAGTTAAGAAAATTTGATTAAAATTCCTTGAAATAAGGTCATGTGAGTTGCATGGATTAATATTTCATTCCATATAGATAATGCTTTAATCTGAATTTTTGACAATAGCAAAGTAATTGAGACCTGGTACATGGGTAGCTGCAAAAGGGGAAGAGCAATGCTGCAAATGCTCTGCAAATGCTTTGATGTTTACTGATTGAAACTACTTAATTAAACAACTTGTTGACATCTATTCTTTTTTTCTGCTGTGTTCTTTGTAATATTATGAGTTGTGTCACTGCCTTGCCTTGGTTTAGTACTTATGAGTGAATATGTTGATCCCTGTTATTCACCAGAGGTGGTCACTGATGTACAAACTCAAATCCTTCCTGTAGGGAGCTGCCCAAAACTGGACACAGTATTCAAGCTGTGGCCTCACCAGTGCCAAGTACAGGGGCATGATCCCGTCCCTGCTCCTGCTGGCCACACTACTCCTGATAGAGGCCAGGATGCTATTGGCCTTTTTGGCCACCTGAGCACATGGTTTATGTTAAGCTGGCTGTCAACCAGCACCCCCAGCTCCATTTCTGCTGGGCAGCCTTCCAGCCAGTCTTCCCCAAGCCTGCACTGTTGCATGGGGTTGTTGTGACTGATAAGAAGGACCTGGCACTTGGTCTTATTGAACCTCATAAAATTGCCCTCAGCTGGAAAGGCTGGATGTGATACTTAGTGCCATGGTCTGGCTGATGTGGTGGTGTAGGTCAGAGGCTGGAGTTGGTGGCGGTTTTCTCCAGGCTTGGTGATTCTGTTATTCTGCAATGCATTGCTGTTGGGAAAACTGACATGGATTTTGGCACTGTCGCGGGCCGGTATTGGGGGGCTACCAGCTGTCAGGGGCTTCCACAACTTTCCCTCCCCCAGTGTGGAGAGGTTTTATGAATGAGGCCGAGGATCACACGTGGTGCTGCCTCTCACAGAGGAACGGCCACTGCAGGACCGTGTCTTAGAGGGTAGATTAGAGTGCCCTCTCACCACGCTCACAAATTGTTACTGAGACCAATGTTTAGTTTACGAATTAATTGGTTATTAAGGGTCAACACAAACTAAGGGATCAGGGTTCAGGAGAGGTCGGCCAGGTGTATATCGGAGAAGGGATTCAGAGGTTCTATGGTCTTATTAAAGGCACACTCTGAGGGAGGGGTGTAAAATCAATGGAGTGAAAGGGTAGGAGTTGAGCCCAGTAGGAAAGTTAGAATGTGTGTGTGTGTGTGTGCGCGCGCTTTTACCCTCCTTCTGTAGGGTGTGGTTCCCAGGATGTGCTGGCAGGCTCAGCAGGAGATCCATGGGGGGACCAGCTTGCCCATAACCGGGGCGATCACTCCCAGCAGCAGCAGCTGTGAAAAACACAGCTCTAGTCCCTGTCCTGGTTTGAGCCAGGATGAAGCCAATTTTTCTTTTTACTGATTTTTTTTCCTTCAGTGAGCTTTCTTGTAACTAGCAACAGTGTGTTCTGCTAGGCCGATAAGACAGTGGAATGTTTTTCTAACTACTGAGGCTTCAAGGCTGCACCTGCACTCTGCCGGCTCAGACACTATGGGGAGATCTGTGACCCCCCCGTAGGAGGCTGAGTTAGATGGACAGCAAAATTGGCCAAAGATATTCCATTCCATATATCTACGTAAGCTCAAAGGAAGGTCAGAGA